CACTATTTTTGAGCCATAAATACCTTAGACTTAGACTTTTTATTATCATTTAATTGCTGTTAAGCTATAAATGCAATGATTTGTTGACATTAGTGTTGATTAATATATGGCTTTATTTTGTTATGTCTTTTACTGTTAATTCATATTTATATTGTATTTGAAATTTATTGATAATAATTAATAACAAATGATTTGTTTGTGTTTTATCTTATCATTGGTTTCGATAGTATTATACGTGATGTAAGACATGAAGACCTGTGCACCACATTGTGCTGACGTCCGCCTAATATAACCAGTTTATAGAGAGAGAGTGACTCTTTTTAAGACAATATGTGGTGTTTTTTGTCTCATTTTCAGTGCAATTATATAACCGTTTGTTTATTTAACGACTATTTGTGAGCAGAAAACAGTTATTATATAAGTGTAGAGACAATTGAAACACAAAAATGAACGCTTTATTCAAGTGTTTTTCGTCCAAAACGACTAATAAGAAGAAGTCGCGTAAAATGGGTCCCAAACCTACCGGTGCTGTCAATAATCATCAAACGATTAGAGCAGCCGTTTTGGTGGCCGTAATCGCGTCCACCGTTTCTGTGATATATTTATATAAAGAGACGATCAATGAGTTCACTGTACGTACACTTAATCCAGACCTCAGCCAACCCACGCCTCACAAGACACCGCCGGCTCCGCCGCCCGCACACAGCGAAGACAGTGGTGTCCATCAGATCCGTCAGAAGATCACACCGAAGCCGTCGGACATGAGATCGTGCGCTCTGTTTCTCAATGATATCCAAACGCTAACATTGGATGACTTCCATCCCATTGATAATCAAAATGCGAAAGACTTAACGTTAAGTCAGATCTCGAGTTTTAATAATTTACAGTTAGGGCCACGGATTCAGTCCATTGTACGCATGGATTACTTCAAGTTTGTGAAACTAAACCTCAACCGCGGCTGTACTCTATGGTCAGACGCATCCAAATGCATTCTCCGGTATTTTGCATTAATTTCATCATATTTTCACACTATTTCCTCAATTTTTATAACCGTTTTTTGTATGTTATTTCCTGTCGTTTGTATAGAGACTGCAGTATTCAATACTGCGATGAATCACAACTCCCGAAGTCTGTTATTATGGGAGAAAAAACTGGTAATTTATATA